GGTATATCTGTTAACATGGCGGTAAAGGGGGGGGGGTTATAGTACTTTCAGCTGTTGCTAAGCCTTTCGTCACACATCTGTTTTGTGGGTATGTGTGTGAGTGGGGTTAAAGCAATGCACATTTAACCTTTATTCAGCATTTTAAATTCAAAATACTCTCTTTTTCTAGAAATTTATAGACGATGAAAGGGGGGATTTTTATTCCCTCTTCCTTTTTGAATTCTCTTTTATAACACCTTTTTTGTGTTATATGAGAAAGTAAACAGAAATTATTAGATTGATATTAATTTGAGACTCACTTTTCTTTTCAGTTTTTTGTTCTAAAAATGTGGTAGAATGTTCTGCATGGGAAAAATAAAATGCATAAAAACAACGTTATAATATACATCGACTTAAAAGTATTAAACTTGTTAATTTTAACTTCGGGCTTTTAACAGAACTGCGTAGTACTTTTTATTTTATTTTATTCTTCTCTTTTTAAACTTCGTATTTAGGACTTAATGTTGTTCTTAGGAAATGAAATTATGAAAGTTATACTTTCGTGCCACGCGCCAGAAATGTATATGTGGCAGATTTTCGTTCTGTAATTAGAATTACAACCTTCTTACTTACCATATTATATTTATTATTACAAAATGAACTTTTCTTTCTGAATTAACTCGGAAATGACTTTTAAATTACACTTCTCTGTTATTCTTCATTTCTGAGGCTTGGGTTATCTTATGTTGTTCAGAGGGACCGATGAAGACAAATTCAGGCTCAAGGCCCACCAAATTTTCCGGGCCCCTTACGAGATATTTTGAAATTAAATTACTGAAGAGTAGTCCTAACAATGAAAAAGAATCTATTGAACTGCATGGTTCAAGATAAATATTCTAAGAAATTTTGAAAGCAGACAATTGAAGATTACTTTTCTAAGATAAAGTTTACGTATCTATAAATTGAAGCAAAATACAAAACAATGTTATATCAAAATAAAAATAGTTTGGTGGCCACAACAATTGAAATCAGTGATTTTTGCTCAAGCCTCTGATTTTTATTTAATATTGTTTGTTTTAACACTGTTTTTTTATTTAATACTTAGACCAACACAAAGCTAGCCCACCTTTCATTAAACTTTTTACTAATTTTTGAGACCCCTCAGAAACTGTGGGCCCTAGGCCCATGCCTATTGGGCCTTGGCGATAATCAGGCCCTGGTTGTTCATATGTAATTGTTCATATGTAATTCCTGTTTTATGTAATTGCCAAATTTGTTACATATTCTTGCGTGCGGCGTTGGAGAAGAGGTACCAGATAGTTCAAGAGCACTTTAGCTAGAAAGCTTGTATTTATTTATAATTTTTTTTTCCTGTTGAAAGGCGTTTTACTGTGTTTCAACGCTACGTTAAGCACTATATCGTCGTGATTTCTATGATCAGTATAGTATCAATATCATACATTTTATGTGTGCTTGGATATTTTCTTAGTTTTTCTGTTCTACTCTATGTTTATTAAATATAATATGATGGAACTATTTATTTCCTTTTGTGATTTCTAAGCGTATATAACTTATATCTATTTTTCAAAAACTGTAAATCTCAAATCTTTTGTTTTAATAACTGTTCCATTTCACTGTGGTTCGATTTGGAGAAATCAGGGTTCGTAAATTGGACTCATCGCAGATCATTTTATTGTAAAAACGCATTTTTCATAAAATATTTTGGCTTAAAAACGGGCCACTAATAAATTTTTATTTTAAAGACAAACCCTTCTCAAATTTTTTTTTCCTAGTCATTAATTAGCATTTTGCGTGTAGCAGGAAAGAACTATATGTAAATAATATTAAATGGAAAAATCATTTATTTAAATGAAAAAAGTAAAAAAAAAAAAATTCTTTTTATTTATATTATTTAACACGGTGCGTAGCTTTTTTAAAAAGTGCTTAGTTTTGATTTGCATTTTTTAAAAGTCCTTAAAGGTGCTTTTTTTTTATTCGGGGTTTGTAAAAAGTGCTTAATTTTCTATCTTTTAAAAAAAGAGATTTTTTCTTTGCCGTGTCGATTGTCGTTCTAAATTACAAAAAAATTCATGATTTTTCACATTTTTCTCTGCAATATTTATCAGAAACTAGTTATTTTATCGTGATTATTTTTTAGTGAAAATTTTTTTCGAATTTTATTGATTTTATGTTCATAAATTAAGAACTTTAAACGATAGAAAAAAGTAATTTTTATTACTGCAGAGATCCTAATTATTTATTTATTTATTTTTGTAAAGTGTTTAAAAATATTTTTTGAGTGCTTAAAAAAAAGTACATAAAAGGTGCTTATTTTTTGTTGAAAAATTTGACTAGGCACCCTGTTAAAGACTAAAATGTTTTTATTTGAAAGCAAATTTTTGTTATTTTTAACAAATTCACAAGAAAAAAAAGGAGGGGATCCATACAATTATCAAAAAAAGAATCCTGGCTAAAAGAACCTTAATTGGAGCTAATCACAAAAATATTTTGTAGATGTTTCACAAAAACCTTAGAAGAAGTCTGCCTGCACACACTTCCGCTTCTTTCTTTATCCATATTTCTACTGCATTCATACAATCTTCCTTTGCCGACAGCGGGTATTTTAAATGTTTCTTCGTTATTTTATTGAAATGCAAAAACACTGTTCTAAATTAAAATAAAGTTTTAGGGGGCGGGGTAAAGGTGTATGCGAAACGCGTGGCAAACTGAAAAAGAAAACAAAAATAGCGGAAAGACCTCCTTGAAGCCAGGCCTCCCGTAATAAGGGTTGGAAAAGAATGATTATTAATTCCATGCCCCTTATGCGTTCCACTGTCTATAGCAGACGCGAAAAGCGCTGGTGAGTGTTTTGTCTCTTCGAACGATGTGCATCTTATTTCATTTTGGATAATAATTTTTAATATTAGAATTTCTTTTTTTTCCTTCTTATTTCTGGAAATTTTTGCTTTCTTTTAATATTCCTTCAAAAATTATCCTTTTTTTTGTTTTTAAGATTTTATTTTACTTAAGCGTTTATTAATAGTTTCGTGTTTTGTTTATTTTTGATCATGAAATTTTATCATTTACATTTATTACGTTAAAGGCAAACGTTTGAAAAATCATTTTATTAATGAGAAATGCTGTTCCTAAAAATTGTTTGTCCAAACAATGGTCTTTTCCTCAATTTTATAATATCATGCTAATATTTTTCTTTTCTTTTTCATTATAATATATTTTTCCATTAAAAAAATTTTGAGACAAATTTATAAACAAATTTGAATGTTAAAATGGCATAAATTGATGAGCTGCAGTACTGAGTAGGCTTTATTTATTTATTTTTCTATATTGATATTTTTCCAAGATCACATATGTAAGAATTAAACTACTTTTTTTTTTACGTTAGTGGAATTTATTCCGAGATCACAAATAAGAATTAAACTCGTTAGTGGAATTTATTCCAAGATCACAAAATAAGAATTAAACTATTTTTTTTTAACGTTAGTGGAATTTATTCTAAGATCACAAATAAGAATGAAACTATTTTTTTTAACGTTAGTGGAATTTATTCCAAGATCTCAAATAAGAATTAAACTAGTTTTTTTTAACGTTAGTGGAATTTATTCCAAGATCTGAAATGAGAATTAAACTAGTTTTTTTTTAATGTTAGTGAAATTTATTCTAATATCACAAATGAGAATTAAACTAGTTTTTTTTTTTTAACGTTAGTGGAATTTATTCCAGGATCACAAATAAAACAATTTTTTATTTTTTTAACGTTAGTGGAATTTATTAATTATGGTCCTAAATATTAAGTCACTCATTGAATCAAAGTAGGATTGTCAGCAGCTTTTGCATTTCATCTTGGATCTTTGACTGGTGCTTTCTCTCTCTTTGTATTAAGTTTTGCAATTTAAGCTTTGCTAATCAGTAATTGTATTTAGCTGTGCACTAGCATTTAGGATGGAATTATATAAAAGTTATTTACTAACATATATTTTTATCTTATCAAAAGTCTGAATCTATGGTGGTAAGAATTATAGTCTTGACGGAAAATAGTTTGTTTTATTTTTATTTCTTCTCATGTTACCAATAATAATAACAAATCACGCATTTGTCTGTATAGAAAAGTACGCAATATTCTTCACAAAATAGGTGCAAAAACTTCCAAGTTAATGCTGTAAATTACAGAATAATCCACCACAAATATTTTTCTGAACCAAATTTGTTGCAATTATGTTAGAGGACTGTTAAAATGGCAAAACAAGGTGAATAATTATTTTAAAAATAAAATTAAATCATCTAAAAATTTCAAAATTGATCTGAGGTGAGAGCAAAGGAATATGTTTTGTATTAAAGCCGAATTAAGTACAATGAGTAAAAGCTTCAAAATATATACATGTTACCGTAGTACGTAAAATCTGTATTGTAAAATTTAAAATACAATAGAAATCATAAATAATCATAGGCAAAATAGAAATCATAATCATTACTTTTTAATTTTATCATATATTATATCTATTCTGCCCTTAAAACTACAATTCCTTCTTAAAAGAACTATAATTCTTGTTTCTAAAAATGAAGGTTTCTTCTCTTATAAGTTGAAAATTTTCAAAATTCTTACTCATCAAAATTAAGATTTTGATTGCAAAATTTAGCTTTGAAGTAAATTTTGTAAGTCTGTCTGTTTAAAGAACTCCCTCCATGTTTGTCTGCTGCTAAAACAAGAAGAAGCACATTTTAGAGAGGAGAGTTTTGGATACTTTTCGCTCTGGCAGCACCTGTCAAAACTTGCTCCAAATGTTTTTACCATGCCACAACCCTACTTGGAATAGTTCTACCTCATAACCTTAAACACTGACAGTGCTTCAGATGACTGGTGAGGGGAGTTCTTCCTATAGACAGACTATATGTATGTAACTATGACAGAAAAACATGAATAAGCCATAAACTGTCGATAAAAAGTTATATTATTTATTTTGTACTTTATTAGGTATTTAAATTTTTTAAATATTTTTTTACAGCATTGTAGTGAGCAACTTCGGCAGCGACCAAGGTAGTGTTGATTCTTGTCATTATAGCAGCAATGGAAGTGATAGTAACAGTGTATCTTCTCCAAGTTCTCCAGAGGAGCCAGACTTGTGTTCTAGAGCAGGATCCCCCCATTCTATGCCTCCATCTTCACCAGATCTTAATTTTAATGATCAAAATGATGATGCAGTTAATCAGATGGACTTTGAGGACAAATCTACTGTACAAAAAATTTGTCCTTTGTCGGGAACTACAGACTGTAGTACATGTGGAAATTGTTGTGAGACTGTTTCTTTCTCCAACAAAATTCCTCAATCTCTGTTCTCTAAAGAATGTGACTTTGGAACTTCGCAAATAACAAAACCAAAGGAAAACTACCTCTACCAAAGTAAAAACTTTGTGCCAAACTCCAAATGTGAATCATTCCAAAATTCAGTGACTCATTGCAATGTAAAAAGTGATAAAATTGAAGAGTGTACACTTTCTACCATTAAATGTGATGTTAAAAACTATAAATTTAATTCTGGGTCCTCACAACAAATAGCTGTACAACCCGAATTTGTATCATGTAATGGCACAAATCAATCCAATTGTTCCTCAACTGAACTACATTGCAATTGGATGCAATGCCAAGCATATGTAGATGGTAATGCTGAACTAGTCGAACATATAAGGAATCAACATGTACAAGTACAAATGGACAAAGAAAATTTTGTCTGCCTTTGGGTTGGATGCAAAGTAATTCATTTCTTTTTTCTTTTCTTTTTTAAATAGAACAGTTTAATAAATTACTCAACTTTCCTCTGTAACATTTATTCCAATTTAACTTATACTCAAAGTGGAGTTTTATAAGCCAAATTGTATTGTAAGTGTTTTATGTGATACTCTAAAAATTTGCCAATTGATTACCATTATTTTTTTTTTACACTATTTATTTCAGTGGTTGAACTTTTTATTTAAATTTTTATTTAATTTAAATAGGAATTGATACTCATCCATTTTGCCAGCCCTAGTAAATTTAGCTTTTTTATCAATAATTTTCTTTATTTTAATTTTTTATTTATTCAATTAAAAAATTAAATAAAAAGCTGTTGAGTTTACTGTTCATTGGCAACTTTAACGACTATCCAGCTAAATGCATTAATACCAAAACTTTTTTTATATTGTTAAATTAAGATTTAAAGAAACTGATTTATTAACGCTCAATTTCAGTCGTTTTGCTGATTTATTTTTCATTGCTAAGTTTGTCACCAGATTTGAGAAAAATAAATCAATGTGTAAAAGTAAATCACATGTAAATGTAAAAAAATATAAATTTTATAATTAAAACTATGCAGTAACATACAGGTAAAATATGAACAGACTGACCCATAAAATGTGAGTCAAATTTTTTATTCTACTGAATAACTTCTAGGCTTTGGCCATTCTTTAATCACTTACATCTGTATTATGCACAGCAATAGTCAATCTTCTGATTACAAAATCAACTACATTTGATTGTTTCACGCACGAAAAACTTTTAAATTACATCTAATTCGCAATCATCAATTACAAACAAAATGTCTTTAAAAAAAACAGTCCTACGCACAGGTTCAAGCTTACAGGAAGAAAAAAAAACTTGCACTAATTGCCTCTGGTAAATACTTTCTGAGAAATAAAAATGTATTTATCCAATGTTGATTATTTATTTTCACAAAATTTTGTTTCAACAATTTGTAATGATTTTACAATACTAGTGCATATTGTTGTTTTAAGTATTTAATGTCTGTGTTGAACTGCAATTATGTATAGTAAAACTTTAAATTATTTTGTACTTATTTCAGTTATTATTTCCTTTATTAATCTGAGAAAAGGGTTAAATGAAAACATTGTTTGCTGGAATAGTGTACTCTAATGCATATGACATTGTATCAAGCAACAGGCTTAATTTTCCATCTTATATCTGGTATCTCTTTAAATATGAGATTGTTATAAGTAGTTCATATTGTATATCATTTTAAAACTTTGAATATTTATCTAGATTTCGGTTGACATTTTTGTTGAGGCTAAGACAGTGATAGATAAAGATAATGTTAAATGTTTCTCAACAGCATGGCAGGGAGCTGATATGACATGAGCGTACAAAATTTGACTGGATGAAATTATATTAAACTGGAATTATATTAAAAAAAGAAATTTTTCTATTTCGAAAGAAATTGGAGGCTCCAATTTTCCTTAGGGCTCCAATAATTTGAAAATGGTTGGTAACTAGCAAAAATTTCTGGTAGTCAGTAAAAGTATTTGCACGATTCCCCTTTTCTGTTCATAGCTTCTTTTTTTTTTCGGACTTGAAATTTAGTTTTATTATAAAATTTGTGCTGCAATAAAATTTTGCTAAATAATAATAAATGGATGGAAGGAGGCAAGAGGACTGGCACGAGACATGGGTGCCTGGGTGTGCCAGCTGGTGTGAGGTAGATAGATGAGAAGAGAAAAAAATACATCAATTGGGGTTTTCATTCTTTTTTAACGTTAGATTATTAACACAAAGAAATTTTAAATCACACTTTTGAGTGATCATGTTTTAATGGGCTCAGCTTTATGCCAATTTCATCCTAAATCCATATTGCTACAAATTTTTACACTGTTTGTAAAGTCCTGATATTTTTAATACAGTAATATTAAGCCAGTTAAATTTTGTATCCTACGTTTAAGTAACTATTTGTCACATACACTCAATTTATGCTTATTAAATCAAGAATTTGTTTGGTATTTTAAATAGTTTTGTAGCAGTTGAACCCGGATTTCGACATAATCTTTAAAATTCTGTTATACAAAGGCATCATGACATGAATCTTGAATTGCGCATTTGATTCACCATCTTTTGATTCACAACGACTTTCCAGGTTTTGTTGGTTATTTATAACCAACAGCCGAATAATCTTTAAAACGAAGCATGTAATAAAAGATTAATATTTAAATAGAAATTTTTCCACCAATCATTCATTAATTTGGTTGCATGTGTTTTTGTTTCTTACCAAATTGAACTTGAATTTGACTGGTATCTAAATCAATTCTATTATTTTTTCCCTCTATATTTAGCCTCTAACATTTGTAGATAGAATTTAGTTTTTAATTGAACCTAGTTTGTTTGTTTTAAACCTGTTTTCTAACAGAGTTTCAGTAAGGAAGAAAATTTTTCTCTAACATAACATTTTCTTATTTTTTTAAAAAAAATATTGGTATACAGGAATGCAATATTTTAGCCTTTAAATGGATTTCCATCATTTTAGGAATGAGTGGAATGGAATTAGATAGAAATTGATAAATAATAATAAAATTATAACTCAATTTGATATTTTTACTGAATGTTCATAATGCGTATTACCAAAGTTTTAAAGCTTTAGAAAAAATATTTTTTTTGTTAGCTAGGTAATCCCTTTAATAAACTATTTTTTTCTAAAAATTATTAGTCAAGTAAGTAATTTAAGAATAAAATAAGTAAAAAAAAAATTAAATCTGTAAGAAACTGTTCACATCTTTAAAACAAAGGANTGGTATACAGGAATGCAATATTTTAGCCTTTAAATGGATTTCCATCATTTTAGGAATGAGTGGAATGGAATTAGATAGAAATTGATAAATAATAATAAAATTATAACTCAATTTGATATTTTTACTGAACGTTCATAATGCGTATTACCAAAGTTTTAAAGCTTTAGAAAAAATATTTTTTTAGTTAGCTAGGTAATCCCTTTAATAAACTATTTTTTTCTGAAAATTATTAGTCAAGTAAGTAATTTAAGAATAAAATAAGTAAAAAAAAATTTAAATCTGTAAGAAACTGTTCACATCTTTAAAACAAAGGAAACACTTTCTGCTTTTCCCTTTCAGAAAATATGCATATTTAACAAATAATACATGAGCAGCTGTTAATTTCTCCCCATTATTACAACAATTAATTAAACGTTTCTCTATTTTTATTTCATACTTTAAGGTCCACTTAAAATATGACTACTCTAGCTTGTATGAAAGTTATTGCAATTTTGATTAATAATGATATTGCTACAAATTCTGCTTTCTAGCTGCACAAAGCGATTGAAACTACCATTATCAACTACCATTATCATTATACGTAGAGCTCCAGTAGATATTTTTGTGCTTTAGCTAGTTGAAATGTCATCATAAGATTTCGCCCTGACGCAGACAGAAATGAATTAATAAAAGCCTACGGAAAGCAAGTGTAATTTAAATACAGTAAAGCAATGAGTTCTGAAAATGTGTTCAGCTTTTAAGTAAATTGTAATTGCTTACTAAATCTTGATTTTTTTTTTTTTTTTTACTTCTGCAAATGATTACTGTTTTATTTTTGAAAAAAATAACGAATTTATGAATAAGAATTATTTTTAAAGTTGTTAAAAATCCATCTCTGATTGCTGTTGTTATTAGAATTCTGCACTATTAATTTCAGCCTGTTAGTTTTATTTATACACAGTCACTAATGAAAGTGTGGTGGTTAGAATTCCAGTAAACAGAAATATAATTGACAATGTATTTTTTGTCTACATTCACACTGCTTTTTTTTAAATTTTTTTTATTTGATTTAGGTTTATAACAAACCATCCTGTTCTTTGAGTTGGCTGGAGCGACATATTCTGCAACACGGTGGGAACAAGCCTTTTAAGTGTATAGTCGACAACTGTAACCAGTACTTCCCTACCCAAGCAGCATTACAACGACATGTAAACTCCCATTTTGACAACAGTGGCCACAGCAATGGATCTCGTAATGGAAGATGTCGAGATGAAATGGGATTCAAGAGCTTTAAAAGAAAAAAACACCTCAAGTACAAACGGAAACATGTTAACGGTATAAAATTTTCTTCGTTTCTTTTAAACCTTGATGTTTACCTTGCACATTTTAAATGTTTATTCTCATGTGTACTTTTACTGCCAAAATTTTGTCGTTTCAATATAGTGGTCTCTCGTTGATTCTTGTCGATTTAAGATGAATCTACTCTGTGATTAATGAGAACATTTTGGGGATTTCTAACATCTTCTGATGGTAATTAATAATAAGAAAATACTTAATGAGTACTACTTATTAGATGATGCAGATTTGTTTCTTGTATTTTCTTATTTTTTGAGTGCAGTGAATAAATTTTTGTTTTTCATTTCATTTCATCAAACAGTTTTTTTATCTTTTTGACTTTTAAAGTGGCAATAATAAATATTATCAAAATTAATTTTTTATTCTATTAGCTATACAGCAAAATTCAGGGTTGCCACCAGCCATGAGGGGACTAAATGTAACAAGTGGGAATTAAAAAATTGTTTGCAGTCTACTGATCGCCATTTTTTTCATTGAAATTACACCTTAACCATATATATTTTTTAATAAATATGGAATTGTATATTTATCAAAATAAACATTATCTAATTTGGACTGAGATTAATATACCATTAAGGAGGGTTATCCTTTAACAGTCTTGTTACAAGAGACCATTGTATATGATGATAATATTTTGATTGAATTTCAGCCGTTGATTTTATGTTTATAAATGTGCTAAAATTCTTAGAACTAATGGAACAAAACTTTGTTAAGTGGTGTTAGAATACAGTGTGACAAATATTTCTTTTGTGTCAATTATTCTGGGAATAAAATAGGGTAAAAAGGATGACATTGTTTTCAAGTTATTGTAAATGCTCGAAATAATTCTTAATTTTTCAATATCTGTTTTAAGTTTTCTTAAGTAATTTGTTTGACAAGGGTACAGAATCTCAATTACACTGTGTTTTATTTGTTTTTCATATTTATTAAAAAACCTCATTTTAGTGAAAACTAAAGGTGCATGAAAGCCTTGTATAGTTCATGTACCGTTAAAAAAATTGTTAATAAGAGATTTATTCATCCCATACAGAATAGGATTAAATAAAATCGTATTGTATTTTGAAAACAATAGAGTATTTAAAAATTCTCTTTTGATTTGACTTTCTTTTTTCGCAAGTTCTTTTTTGACTTGATGAAAATTAGTAATATATAAAATCTGTGTTTGGATGGATTAAAGAAATAAATAAAATCGTAACATATTTAGTTTTTTAATCCACTTGTATGATTCCTTTCAAAATCAATGGTTTTTCTAAATTTTTTATTATTAGATTTCACACCAGCATTGAGAGTTAAGTCATCCAAAAGGAATACCTAAGATTCCATTTATTGGTCTAAAAATATATCATAGTAGTTAAATGTAAAAAAGTTTTAGCTATACCAGTATGCAAGTATTGGGTGCATATTAGTTGTAAATATTTCTACAAAGAAAAAGCTATTGTCTCAATTTTGAAATATTCTAAATGCTAAACGGTTTTTAAAATCTTAATTATTTTGTGTTATATCTCATTATTCTAATATCATGCAGTTAAGTAATCACTTTTTCACATGTTTGATTCATGAGGATTTCTTTTTAAATTCCAATTTGTTTTTTTTTTTAATTTTAATTTTTTTAATTTTTTTTTTATATAATCGTGTTTCTGGCACGCATTGCTTTATATTTCTATGTGGCTTTGAAATCCTGATATTTTTAATAGGATATTATTTTGGCTCACTTGATTCATGAGGATTCTAGTGTTGATTCATGCGATCTTGTCATTAACATTTTTGGCTATGGATCTCCATGTGGTTTTTTAAATATAGATTTTTTAATATTGTATTTTTTTAAATGTTGTATGTTATTGGCAAATCATGAATTGTAATCACTTTTCATCATTTGAGTAATCACTTTTTGATGTGAACACTTTTCAACGATTTAATTGTAAATCCACATGGTTTTGCTGATCTCTTTAGGCCATTGTTGCTACTAATTTCTGCATGATTTTTAAAATCTAAATTTTTTTTTTTTTAACATGATAATATAAATAGTGGCATACAGGAATATTTCAATCGGCAAATTTGTTGTCATATTGACATGAATCCTAATTGTAACTTATTTTTCCCAACTGATTGCTCTTTTACATTAACTACATTCTTTATCTTACTTAATTTGGACCTATTCTACCACTTCTTTAAGTTTACACCAATAGTTTTGAGTCAGTGTATATGTTGTCCATTGGATTAAATAACAGGAGCATTAGTTATAAATTATTAACTTATAATGTTATATAACTTATAGTGTTAGCTTATAAATTGTGTAATATTAAATCTTTACGCTTCAAGTTTATCACTGAATGTTAGTAGTGTGTCTCTTTTCTAAAACCTGTGTTTTATATACAATAAGATAGAGGAGTACTACAGATTTTTCTTATCAGATTTATTGCTATACGTAATTGATAAATCGTAGCTAAGTTTTGTATTTTTTATTCATAAATAAAAATGTTATAAAACATTTTTTTATATATTTAAATATATTTTATATTATTTTTTTTATATATATTTTTTAAGTTGTAAGCTGTATTTTTAAATAATTCTAATGTGCTCCTATTATTTTATCTGTCCAATTTGCATACCTTTTTATTAGAAATAATTAGAAATATTTTGTGATATGCATTTTTTTTATACATAGTATATTTATTTTGTCTAGTTTTTTTAATTGTTGTATATTTAGGTTAATTTTTAACTGTACAGACTTAAGTAACTTTACATGTAAATGATATATAATTTTCATTAGTTTAATTGCTGGTTTTGTATAATACTTGTTAATTGTTTAAATAAAATTTGAACATAAAAGTGTTAGGCAGTTAAATTAGTTACTCTTTTAGAACCTATTTATATATTTGTTTAGTTAATATATATATTGTTTTTTACTTTTAAACTAATGTTATCATTTAATTATCATAGTAACTTTTTATTATTTGTATTGCTTGTAAACTATTTTACCATTGTTATCGTGTGTTATTTACTATTTTAATGATTTTTAGGGAAGACTTAAGGTAATCTTTGTTTATTGCATTAGAATTTTATTGCTGATTACAGTAATTTTTATCTGCACCATTCTTTAAAAATGTAGACAAAATTAATTTTTATATAGCTAGTTAAGTGTCTGTTTGTCTTTTTGCAAGACACTAATGTTCAAAAAACTAAATGTCAGTAAAAAATAGTACCAAATTAAGTATGGTAGTTAAAATATCTCCCTTGTTTCAAATATATTGGCCCCCTTTGTAATGCATTACTATAATCTAATGTGATTTTAATATATAATTTAAACAAGATGTAATTTAGTATTTTTCAAATAATAAAACACCAAATTTAACATATTCTTATGCTGAATTTCATTGTTCTATAACTGATTCACTTAGAAGTAAAATTAGAAGGATATGCTAGTATATAATATATTTTATTAAAATAATTTGTTTATATGGTTAGATTCAAATTTCATTTGTAAAATTTGGTTCATAAAAAATAGTTTTTTTAATATTTATGATGTAAAACTAGCTGTAATTAAAGTTAATTATTTATATTATATTTTTAATAATAATATTATTACTTATGATAAATAGTAGGCATTTGCTTTAAAAGATGTAAGAAAAAAATGGATTTTTTTCTTTGCTCTTGCTTAATATGTTGCTTAGAGCTAGCTTTGGTTGCAGTTAAAAAAAGAGAGAGAGAGAAAAAGATCGAGGTGATGCTTGTGCTCCGTATAACATTATAATACTGTTATGGGTTGTTCAAATGTGTTTCTTTCTTCTAGCTTTCCTATTGGTCATTTCTTATTTGATGGATTCGGAATTTTGCTTACTATAAAATCTATAAGTGACAACCGTGGAAACATCAGGGGAACATTCTTTCGTGAAACGTTCAAAATTTCTCTTAACTTTCTTACTTAGAAATTTCTAAAAAAATGTTTTTGATATAAATGCATTGCTGGAAAAATAATGTAGATTCGCAACTTTGTCATTTCATTAATAATCTTAACAAACTGAGCATACATCAACATTTATGAAACTCTATTAAACAATTAAAACAACTTTGATGGCATTGATATTACACAATATTAGAGTGGGAGGGTGAATAGCACTCAATTTATTATAGTTTTTATTAAATCTTCATATTTGTAATTTGGATTGAAAATTTCAGTTTATTTGATCCTTTAATAATAAAATAAATTTTTTAAGGGATTTAATTTATGTTGATTCTGAAGTTCTTTATTAAGATATTCAGTTTCATGTGATTTATTGTTAAATTAATCAAAAAATTACTATTCCCTTTTTTTTTTTAAAGATTAATCATGTGTGTTTGTTTTTGCATTATTTTTTCTCCGTGTAATATAAATGTATTTCTGTTCTAATTATGAAACAGTTTTCATAGATGTAAATTTATGCTTAGTTTAATTATGTATAAAATAAAATGATTAAGTTAAGAATTTGTGTGTTTAACCAGCAGTGCAACAAATGTTGTATTTCATTAAATCGTTTCTCTTTTACTAAAATTTAATTTATTTTTAAATCATTATTATATCAAGAAAAAAGAAGAAAAAAAACAAAATTAAATCAGATTGCATCTAAGTAAAAGAGTGTTTGTTAGTTTTAACTTAAACATTTTTATATTTATTTAAAAGATATTTTTATTTTGGCATTTGCTTTTATTAAAGTTTAAAAAAAAAAGTAGAAATACTGTTGAAAAATTTAGATAAATTTTTTGAAATTTATTAATAAGATTAATGCTATAATGACACGATTTATGAAAGATAAGTGATTAAAAGACTATTTTTTAAAAAAAGATTTATGTTAAGCAGTTCGACAACCTCAAATATAACATTCCATGATATAAAATTTTTTGAAAATGTAAATAATTATATATTTTAAGAATTATTTTTGTATAGATACAGTTGAATCACACATATTTGATTTTAAGTCAAACATTTTCTGATTTAGAAATCTTTTCCATTTAAGCAATAAAGACTTCAATTATGAGCTTCCACTGTATCTATTGTTCACAAATTTAGTTCAATGAAAAAAAGTGTGGTCATACTAAGTTCATTAACAATGTATGATTTTTCACTATTCCAAGTAGTTATTTATTTTATTAGTTATTTTTTACAATTCCTTCCTTGCTTTGACCTAATTTCGTATGTTCAATAACTACACTAAAATTTCCCCGGTTTATAATGTATTTGAACCATCTCCAAAATAGTTTTGTATTAACCACTCTTCTATAAAGAGTGCTTTACGTGATTTATTACTTTTATGATTATTTTATATAATATTTTTATTATTTTAGTCATAGAAATTGAAAATATTACCACTCAGTGGAGTTTATTTTTTAAGTAAAGAATTTTTCTTTATGAAAACAAAATTTTGCCAACACCACAAATTTGTTCACAAACTTATATTTGACCACCTTTTTTTATGAATGTTGTATGGCATTTAATTAATCGCAGAATAACTCATATTTCAGCTAAAACCGAAGATTTTTTTGATGCTAACATCATGGAGCAAATCAGGTACAAGCTAATAGACATTCATTCTGATCAACTTTCACCAAGTACAAATGATCTTAGAACCGCAACTTTTTATAGCAAGGTAATGCCAATAAATTTTTATTTCTCAATTTTAACTTTTACAGTATAATGAAGAGTTTATGCCTTTCAGAAGTAACTTAAACCAAGAACACTTTGTATTTTTCGATAAAGTGTAAAGTTTAGATAAATCCAACCTTAAAACCATAAAGTGATTGTTTGGCAACCTTTTATCATGTTGAATGCCATAGGGATCACCGGTGACTGGCACTGAGTTTGTTCGTCACGCCACGGGGCACACCGGTGACCGGCGAAGCCAAGATTATTAGAAACACATAATTTGAGTAAATTTTTAATGCCTTTAATTTTTTTTTAATATTACTATCGTTACTAAAATGGTTTGAAGAAAGTAATGCAATACATATTGAGAAAATCATTTTGACCAGACCGGCGAGCCATGTAAAATTAGTGTGGCATTCAACGTGTTAACCTAAATTGTGCAAAGAGAATATCATATTATGAGAAAGATTTATTGATGTAGGAATTATTCATTACTTGAGATATTGGTACATTTCTTGCATTAATGAAAATAATTTATTACAAAACAGGTTCTTATTTAACCTCAGCAATGTTTTGATTTTTGAAAAATGCAGTAAAATCTAATAGTTGTGAAAATTATATTGACTTCAAATAAGTCATTTAGATACATTAGAACAGTATTGTTCCCTACTACATAGTGTAGTTACCGAAAGGACTTTTTAAAATTAGCTAAAGAAAACAATTTTTTTTTCACGAGGTAAGCTTTTTTGAAGGCACTCACTTATTTGATATGTGAGTGCCTTCACATCAGATGTAATGTTACTGCTGATCTACATTTCTTAATTTTTTATTTTTCACAAATAAATTTTAAAAAATGCATCCCCCTTTTTTTCTTCTTAAGTATGCATGCTTATGCAAAGTTTTAATTTAAATATGTTTAATGAAAAATATTGTAGGCAGGGATCCTACAAAGTTTAAGAACCCTTTACAAAACTCCAAACCTCGAAAAATGATCTTCTAAAAAAAAATCCAACTTGAGGCTTTTTACAAAAATTTAATTGAATGAACCTTTCACAAAGTTCTAAACTTCAAAAATGACCTTTTCATAAAATAAATAAGTAAAAAAATATATATATATATATTTTTTTTTACACACTAGAAAATATCAATGAATGTGTTAAAAATTGACCAAGCCATGTTTATGGGGTCAGAATTATGTAACAAAGAAGAATGAGATGTAATGTTTCTGACAACCAGCAATTGACAAATTGTTTTGTTTAAAATTTTTAGTATTTAAAAGTTCATATAGTCTTTTATAAATTTGGCCTTAGTTTTTGACAAAAATAATTTTCTCTAAATTCGAAACTTTTTTCCTCAAAGTTTCTATTTCATTTCTTGCAGCTATTTCTGATTATACAATGATTTTTATTTTTAAACATGATGTTGAAAAATAAAATTTTTTGTATGATTAGAAAGAGCTCTAATAAATTTATTACTTAATTGTATAAAATTTGAGCTACCTTTAACTTTTAAAATTTTTAAAAATGGCTTTAATTTCATAAACTGAATTAGCACATTGTTGGGAGACATATTACAAAAATAACTGTAAAATAATGAATGTCACAGCGTAAATCTTTTGCCTCTCAAAAGCTACATTGCAAAATATAAATCACATTATGATTTAAGAAGCGCAAATTATTAGTATTATTTCAGTTCATAAAAAATTGTGATAATGATTTTCAAAATGAAATTTTTTTAAATAATTTAGTTGAAAATTCCACATGCTCTTTTCTTTACATGGTTTGAACCTCATAAATTTCTCTCTATTAAATATTTTAATTCCCTTGTTACTAATTTGTGTTGACACAAAAGTTGTATTAAAGGTATGTTACTTAGACTACATAATCAATAAGTACTATAGTGCTCAATCATTGCCCTGCATAATTTAAATTAATAAAGCCTCTTAGAGTTTCACACTGATTATTTTAATAATATCTCTTATTTACATATTTAAATGCTAATATCCTTTTTTACTTAACTTTTTTATGGATATTTTTCTTAGAACTTTATTTAGTTAGAAATTCAAGTTCAAGAAATCTTTGCGTTTCTTTGATGACAGGCCACTGAAGAATTGAAGGTAAAAAAGAAGTGTTACATGTTGTGCGTCAGCTGCAATTCAGTAAAATGTTTTCTTCTTTTGTGGTACAGCATTTATGGTTATAGATAGAAAGGATTAGAGCATTCACAAATTGAATTTGCTGAAATTGCTTCGTTTGAATTTAGAAAATGAAATGCACCTCAAGTTTTAGAAGAAAAAAAACTCTGTTAAGACCCCAGAAGCAGATTTATTTCATATGTTCTACAATAAGACTTTTAATAATTATAAATGTCATGCAGGTATCATCAAAGATAAATAACTCAATTTTAATTTATATCCGGATGGGAACATAAGTACTTCTGAAATGATATGGATGTGAATAGTTTTTCCCAAACGTAAACTGACAAAAACAATACATAATTTTGAGCACTTCCTGCTTTGGGAGCTAAGACTAAAACTTAATTTAACAGAATAATGAAAAATTTTCATAATAGAAATATTTCATTACAACCTTTATGGCAGGGATGGCGAACCAATGGCACGCGTGCCATTTATGGCACGCCACATAATATTTTGGGCATGCCACCGATCACGAAGTTCACTGTGAAGCAATTTACCAATTAAATTAAAATTCACAAAAACAAACATAAAAAAATAAACAATTATTAACAAAAAATTACGAATTAATGCCAAAAAACAATTAATTAACATAAAAAACAAGCTAACAATAAATAACTATCAAAAAAAAAATCAACAGACCTGCTTAAAATAACATCTTACAAACTAATATAAGTTATTTGTCATCTAATCTGCAACAACAGAGGTCACACTGATGTTACTTTAAGTTGAATTACGCGCCGTCAAACAATTTTGACTTCGTGATTATTGGGAAAATAATAACACTAAATACTATCAACTCTAAACTCTTCATTTACTATGAAAAAGAATACATTTAGCAATGTCTCAGTTATACGCGTCTATGACCAAATTAAACAATTTTTTAGAAAAAATGGAACGTTGGTGTATAAAGATTCGCCACCCCTGCTCTATGGTAAAAAAAAAATTTTTGTAATTTTTAATTTGTGAATTAAATTCTATTTATTTTACTGAATAAAGATCTATAAAAATTTCTAACAAACTTAGGATAAAGCATCAGTGCTAAAAAAGATAAATTATGCAGCTATTTCTTAGGCTCTAAGAATGAACATTTAGCTTAAACCTCAACTTTGATAACATTTAGTGAATAAAAAAAATAATGAGAAATTAAAGATTTATTGAGTTTATTTATATATTTATTTTTTCTTAAAATAATTGCTGATTACCAATCTGAAAACAGTTACATTTGGCGATCGAAATGGGCTACGGGTGGCGTAGAGCAGAACTCTCTACCTATGGCGACACTTTGCATGCTTTCACCATTATCACGTGGAGAGTCATAGTTGAAGGAAGTACGTTAGTTTCTGTCTTGATTTTCAAATAGATTAAAATCTTTTAAGTTAAGAAACTGTATGGAACTAAAAACTACATTAAACATATTTCTAAAAGAAAGCGTCATGGAAATTTTAAAAAATATTTTTAGCAATTAAATATGAAAAATATTAAGAAAAGGAAAAATATTGTAGTACATTCCTATACAACTGAAATGAGGAGGAGAGGGAAGGGCCAAATGCATGGAACCAGTCTTCTCCCTAGAAGGCGTATTCGACCATTGTGATCACCTATAAAAAAAATTAGGGGCTGCAAAAGGTTAAAAACTAAGAACTTAGAAAATTATTATGGTGCATATTTAAGCATAAACTAATGTACTTGAAATAATAAATTCAATTTTTTTTTACTGGCTCTACAATTTCATGATTTATATTGACATAGGTGCCAGTTCATAAAAATTATTAAATTTTCAAAACTATTGTGAACATAACTTTGTGTACATCAATGGCCAATCATGCAAATATTGCAAGTACAAAAATTACAAAAATGTTTTAGTTTAAAAATCTTTTTCACTCATGTAATATAATTTTTTTGCATACTTCTAAGGAAATAGATTCTCACCACGTTTTGAGAGTGTAGGATTGAGCATAAGTGGCATTTTTAGATATGGATTGGCATCTATGTTAATTATTGCAAAAAGTTCTTTTTTATCTAGATTAAATTTGTAAATAATATTTTCTTTCTTAATTTTTTCATGCATCTAATGTACTTCTGAATTATTTTTAGGGCTCTTTTCTTCAGAAGAAAAGATAAACTCTAAACTCTCTCTATTCTGGAGAATTTACACCTAACACACTCGAAACGAATATTTAGTTGTCTTCTTTCATGTTATAGATTAACTTGCATGATTTGTATTTCTAAATAAAAGCTGCAATGGTATGCTCATACTCCTATCATTCTTTGTACCAAGTGCACAGAAATGTTGCACTGAAAAATATTAAGTCTTCTGTTTCTTCTTTTTTTCATATCTCTTTTATTTTATGTATTATTAAGTTTTCTTTCCTTTGTACAGGGTGCGTAGCGTTTTTAAAAAGTGCTTAAAGGTGCTTATTTTCGTTTTTTAAAAGCCCTTAAAGGTGCTTTTTTTCATTGGGTGTTTTTAAAAAGTGCTTAATTTTCCCTTTTTCAGTATGAGATTTTCCCCTTACCATGTTGATTTTCGCTTCGAATTATGCAAAAAGACACAGTTCATTTGTTCTATTCAACGTTTTCACAATTAATTCAACCCCAATGCATTTCGTTGTATTGTCAGTCCGTAGCGTATGAATACATCATTCATTTTACATGATTCAAAATTTCAAAAACAATGCCAAAAGTTTTTTTTTTTTTACGTGACAGTTAAAACAAGACAAAACCGTCAATTGTCAAAAACTTTCCAACCCTGCCTAATCATGATATTTTTTTAAAGTGCTTGAAAATATTTTTTGAGTGCTTGAAAAGTGCTTCAAAAGTGCTTATTTTTTTGTTGAATAATTTGGTTACGCACCCTGTTCGTAGTTTTCGAAACAGTCATTTTATTTAAGTTATTTTAATTTAACCTCTTAGATGGTATTGTATTGCATATCATCAAATGATGACATGCAATTTATCAAATTCAATGTTCATATTGGTGTTCACGAAGTTAAGTAGTATGCAGAAAATGCTATTAACTACATAAGATATATCTCAGATACCTTATGTAAATCTATTTTAATAAGTTAATAACAGCTATTTCCCAAATTTAAGAAGAAGAAGAAAAAAAGTGCTAAAGAGGTTAAATTTTATGGATTTTATTTTTCTGCTTCAAAATTTTTATACAATTAAACAGTAATTACAATTATTATATTTTTAGGTCAAAGCAATAAGAACAGAAAAATCTGGAAACATAAAAGTTTTATTACACTGGATACCTGAAAATATGTAAGTATGCTTAAGTTATTATTTTTTTCCCCTTTTCAAAAGGAACTTTTAGTGATTATTTTCATTGTATATTTTTAATCAAGCTAATTAAATGTTTTTTTGTTAATTTTTTATTGAATCACTGTATAAAAGGGCTTCAGTCCTACTTTACCAAAAAAGCTAAAAACTTTTTTTTTGCTTTCATTATTAGTGGGTAAAAATTTATGCTGTAGGTACTTCTTCTAGGCACTTAATCACAGGGTACAACAATATTTAAATTACTTTGCAGAAGAGCTTGTTAAGTAACATTTAAGTGAATTTGTGAAACTTAACTTTAGAGCAGTGTTTGTGATTAAAAGAAAAATAGTAAATAAATGTTAAAAATCTGTTTTATTTTATTTTAGTGTGGTTCTCTTTATTTAAATCAGATACTTTAAAAGTTTAGAAGATACTTCAAAAATTTTAGTTAATTAGTTATAATTTATAAATACTATTGCAATATTGATATTATTAAAAATAAATTATAATATATTTCTAACAATATCACATTAATGATTGTTTTTTATAAATGAATTATCAGTTCAAATGACTGATTCAAATTTATTGAATAAAAAGAGAGGGATTATTTGAAGGAAAAAAATAAGGCTAAAATAAACATGTTTAATCATTTCGAATTCAGATATATATATATTTTTTTATAAGATTGAGGTGACAAAATTAATTGTGTTACCTAATACTTTACTTTAACTGCAGGTTGACTAATATTCTGTATAGATTTACTTCATTTATTCATTTTTTTTATTTTAAAAAATTACTCCATTAAAAAGAATCTGAATTAGTCTTTAAATATCTTGTTTATGTCCTAATTAGAATACTTAAAGATAAACTTTTAGATTCAGAAATACTGTAACTATTTTGTAATAAAATGTGGTCTTGATCATGTTTTAAAATTAAAAATTGATAGGATTGTCTTTAACTTTGTTCCCAGTGAAGTTGGTTTAAACTGAGGTAACTTTGAACCAAACAGTTTTTAAATTAACCAATCCTGGTTTTTGTAAGATTTTTTTTTTTAATAATTTAATTTTCTATTTAGAAAAAAGTTAAAAATTAAATCGATAGTTATAATTTGCATGTTTTGATAATTTTTAAAATTCGTTAAATATTGTAATTGTGTGAGTTAAGATCAAAGTTTCTCTTAATGTTTTTTCCATCTTGGTAAATAGATTCATGCGAAAATCAAAAAATTAAATAGGAATGAGGTGTTATACTAATTTTTATATTTTATTTATTTTTTATTTTTAGAATTTTTTTCCTTATCAGCATTATTAAATTTTACTGCAAGCATGCAGTATGTTATGATTCTAATAGTTTCTAAGGACAACATTTATATAAAAAAGAATTTTAACAAAATAATATTCAAAATTCACATACAATATGAAGAAAGTATGTTTTATTTTACTTAATGCTGTTGCATTAAAGCATATTGTTTTGTTTAAAGATTTTTTCGTTAGAATAAATTACCAGAAAGAGTGTTTTATTCTTTATTTATTTATGAATCATTAGTATACTACTAAAACACTTTTTACTATTTTATACGTAGATATGTATGCAGCCAATTTGACATTTTTCGTCCTTTTTATATTTTTATTTTATTCAAAAAATTTTTTTAATTGGAAAAAAAGATATTGTCTTAAATTTATCTTGCTCCTTTTCATTAAAATTTGTATGAGAAAAAGCAAACAAGAAATATTTATTTCATTAAGTAAATTTATATCTATGTTCTAAAATGTATATAGATAATTAATGTCATTAAATAATAATGCAGTATGACATTTATATGTTATTTTCACAAGCAAAGGGAGACTCAATCTTTTACATACATTACTAATACAGTCGAACTCGTTTATAACGAGCTCGGATTTACCGAGGGAAACGAGAATATTTGNTTATTTTCACAAGCAAAGGGAAACTCAATCTTTTACATACATTACCAATACAACATTTAGATAATAAAAATCCATTATGTTAAATAGAATTGTAAAGTAATGAATACGCAATTTCAAAATCTTCATTTATTCTTTTTTATAGTGTTCGCATATTTATGAAATGAAAAAGAATAACACACGAAAACTCTTCCTAAACAAATGTCCAACATGATGTTTTCATTAACAAGAGAAATTTAATTTAGCAAAAGTTTTTAAAAAAAATCATTAAAACCATTCAATCTTTTGATGTTGACACACATTAAGTTCAATACTTCTTGAATTCTCTTTCAATGAAAGAATAGTTAGAAGACTTCTAAATTCTTATCTTCAAGGGTCGTAATCTAAGGTCAAAAAGTATGTGAAATATGGATTATTTTGCATTGATCATAAGAAATGTATATTGCAGTCTCATGCAGAATTTAACATGAAGTCTGGTATGCATTCATAAGATTATACATTCAGAATTTTTATCAAAAATTTGCTTTAAGTTTTTTATTTTAAATTTTTATTCTCTTATTGTGAAATGTTTATATTATCATCAGTTTATATTTGTGTAAAAACATGTCATTGTTGCATCTATCTTGATCTATGATATTTATTGAAAAAAATGGTGGAAACCAGATTATATTTTTGGTGCATTTTTCATCTTTTATTCACCATTAACATATACCCCCACATAAAATAATCAAGTGGATTGAAATTTTGCAAATTGCTTCAGAACCATGTCTGCACCTTTTTTGATTCGTGGGTGGGTGCTGAGATTTGTTGAGAGCAATATGATTGCCCTCTAAATAAATCAGAAGGAATCAAATGCTTTTTCAAGACTTGTTCCGAGTAGTACCCCAAGTTGGTTTTAACTCCTAGATAAAAAGAAGTGGAAGCTTTCCTTTTTGGGAAATAGCACCCCCATACCACCACTTTCAATGCATTTTGTTATCATTTTACTGCCAATTTTTCTTTTGGATTTTCGGCAAGACTTGCTGTACATACTGTTTTGCTGGTTGTGCCTGTCTTGTAGGATAAAAACTTTATCATCAGAAAAGAGACTGTCACAGCCCATGCTGACGTAACATCTTGCAAGATGTTGTGCTAATAATGTCTCGCTCTTTTTAACTCTAGTATGCTTTTATGCATTGATAAGACCTTGAATTCGTTGTTTTTTGTATGGTACAAGTTGTAAATCTTCTTTGAGTTATTTTGTTCATCATTGTTGTGGATATCTTTTTTTAAATACCCCGAACAGAAACATGGGGAAAGATAACGATAATACACCATGGTAATCACTTTCTCTTGTGATCAGAGAGAAATGCTCTTGACATTAAGTAATTTCTAATATTTAAAAAAAACGTTTATCCAGACATCGGATTATTATTATTATTTTTTTTAATAACCATCATTGAACAGCCGACCTAAATTTGAGTTTACAGCTACCAATGTTCAAATCCGTAGCCTTGTAATTTTGAAACCAATCCAGAAGACAAGAGAACTCCTGGATCAATACCTCCAGACGTATTGTTTTGTTATGGGTTCTTGGAGAACTTTGTGATTGCGACAGATTTAATGTGCACCAGTCACCATTTAAAACACTGGGATTCTTCGGCTGGCTGGATTCGAACTCGCATTCTCACGAACAGGAGTCCAACTCCCTACGAACCAGGCTGTCATGGCCCAGACATCGGATTAGTGATAATTGCATAGCATCAGTTTTACCGATGAATCACCCGGTCCTAACACCTTCAGTAGTTTCGTTGCTTGTAGCGTCCTGCACCTCCGATACCCTTTTTAATATTAATATTGTGATTTATCCATATATTTCTTTTACATTTGCCTTTATATATATATATGTTTTGTTCTGTAGTATAATTTTTCTTCCCAGCTTACCAGATTTGTGGGTATCTGAAAAATCTGCCATCAAGTACAAAAGAATTTCCTATGCATCACTGCCACCAGATATCCGCACATCATTAGACTCACTGCCAACTAATGGTGCAACAAGCAATGAACCTCCACGGGTAAAGCACCGCCGAAAGTGATCTTTTTCTCATTTTCTATTCAGCGAGAGAAAAAACATGTTCCTGCAAGTGCCATGCATTGAAAACTTACATTCACTGTGCTTATACAAAAACTATATTTTAGTGTGTTTTTATCCCAAATTAGTAAAATTAAATTTCACACTTTCATCTGATAAGCAATTAAATAAAAGGAAGGCACACAATAATAAGATTGGCTGCTAAGTGAATATTTTTAGGGGAGATAATAATCAGTGCCTTTGTGTCTTTTTCATTGAAAGAATTGTTCTCTCTCCACAAGAAGAAAAAAGATACACATTTGTTATTTTTCATGCTGTGAAGATTTCTTGCATTTAATCTGGTAACAATAATATACATTATTTAAGATTCTGCAGTTGGGTCTTTATAAAACAGTGTGCAATTTTAAAAAATTTAGTTTTCAGCACCAACTCAATGCACTTTTTTTCATATTAACTTTCTCGTTGGGAAATTTTTCTTTAAAACTTTTTAAACTTTTTTTTTTACATATTTTATTTAAAAAGTAAAATATAAAAGTTTGCAAAATCTTTTTGAAAAAGGAAAGTAATAGAAACTAGTAATTATTACTATTTCTTATTTAAATATTTACTATTTTTTAGAATATACAGAGTAGAAGGCAGGCATATTTTTTTTTTTACTAAAATTAATGAAACTAGAACAATTTCTTATGTTCTCTTCTATTTGTTCTTTTCTATTTGTATTCTATATAGTTCTAAATTAATTTATTTTTAATGAAACAAGCAAGTTTTAAATCTCTTAAGCTTATGGCCAAATAGTGTTCAACATCTAAATAATTTTAGAACACATTTAAGAAGTTACTTGTATTTCAAGAATAACTTTTAAGCAGAGCTAAATCTTTTTTAAGGTGAAATGTCACCTGCGAACGACAGAGATTTGGATCTTTATGTGCAACAAAACTAAAGAGGAGGAAATAATTTGTAACAGCAAACAATCCTTTATTATAAAAATATTCCTGACCATTATTTTTAGCTAATACAAAGCAACAAAATATTAGTTTTTAATGCCCATAATTTTACTTTTCTTTCTCATTTTACTTTTTTTGCAAGCATGCTCTAGTATCATTTATTTATTATTATCTTGCTGATTGGGGATAGTTGGGATTACAAAGTCTAGTCATGTAGTATACATATTATAAAAGATTTTTATTATTGTGTGTAAGAAAATGCATGTGTCTTTTATTCACTAAAAATTAATTCAAAGAAATGGTTGTTGATTTCTACTTTTGGTGTATTTCTGTTATTATATGATTTTATTTTTGGATGTGCATTTTTTTCTGGTTTGAAATTGCATGTAAATATGGTTTTGTCTTTCTTTCTTTTTTCTTTCAAGATATTTTTTCACTAGATGAACTATAATGAATGAAGCCCTTATATATATTTTTTTTTTCAAGCGTTATTCTTATATCAAATTTTAAACATATCGATCTTAAATTTCAACTGTAATGAAAAGTTTTTCAGCATTATTTTAATTTTGAAACCTTTATTTTTTGATGTATATATATTTCTCCTGTTAAAAGAATTATAGCATAAAATGTAAATATTATTCCTACAAAGCAGGTTCATGTATCATATTGATTGTTGTTTGAAAAAAAGATTTGAAAATTTTTTGTTAGCTTAATTTTTTAAGTTAATTGTAAATGTGATTTGAAAAAACTACAATTTAGATTAATAACCAGCGTTAATACAAAAACTGTCTTGTTGCTTATACTATCAAAAGTCTATAATTTCTAAGTAATTTTGAAATTATGCAAACTTTTCTGACTGCAGAATCTTTTATTTATTCTTAATAGATTCATAAAATATCTGTGATAAATAGTACAAATATTTTTGCATTTAAAAAAAAAAAGCCAGTTATTTCTTAGATGTTTGAATACGATTGAGAAATTACACTTTTTCATTTGTATCGCTCAGTTTTCCAGCATCACAAATTCTATTAACAATAAATACATTTATTTAAACAGTGTCTATACTAAAATGAAATAAAGTAAAATTGCAATCTTGGTATGTTATATATATTCTGTTTCAATTTTTATTTTATTTTAGTTCATTCTTTTTATTAATGATTAATGTTTTTAAGATAATAACAGTACTGTTCTTTATTGTCATGAAAAAGTTATTTTAACTTGTCAAAGTTAGATCAGTGTTTAGAACAACACTTTTTGAGATAGTTCATATGTTTTATCCAGTTTTTTACTAGGCTATGAAAATATAAATCCTATCTAAAAGTGAGGCATCTAATAGTGTCTGAAAGAAAGGTAGCCAATTTTATTAATCAAAATTTTCTTATAAGTATATTCTTGTTTCAGAAACGCATTTTGCAATAGTGCTTGCGTTAACTAGCTTTCATTTAAATTTTTCGGACTTCATATTTTAGTGTAGTAGATTTATTCTATTGCTAAAAAATTTCTACTTAAAATTTTATTTATTTTTTAAACATAGAAGTAATTATATTGATATACCAAAATATAAAATACTTGCAGAAGTAAATCGAGGAAAAGTACGCCACTGCAAAAGTATGGAGGTTCGTTGTTTAAAAGTCTTTTTTCTCTTTAATAGAATTTAATAAACTATGTTAAGTAAATATGACATATACAATGTTTATTGAAAATTTTGCCGATTTTTTCCTTGGGTGCAGCATTTCTTCTGGAAATTGCTGTACTTCGTAGATCAAATAAATTAGTCCCCTTTCTCATCAAAATTTTATTCGCATGAAATGCGACCCTTGAATAATACTAATTATTTGGTGTTCAATCTCTTGTATAAATATAGAAAATCCCTCTTTTTTTAAGAAAATAAATAAAAAATCAGCACTTATATGCTTTGCCTTAAGAATGTGTATATTAAAAGAGTTGGGCACATTATTTGTCTCATTTTTGGCTCAATTGAGGCATTGATTAAAAATAATTTGAGAATTTTTTGTCTAGTAATTATTTTATTGTGAATTTACCCTTTTCTTAATTCATTCATTATAAATAACTTTGTCATGAATATTAATCTGTTCTCTTTTCTTTTTATCTTTTATTTATTTTTTAATTTTCAAACCTTAAGGAATTAAAATCAGATGATTCACATTTTTCCTTTAATTCTTATTCTAAGTTATTTTCACTATCTTAATTTTTAATTTGAAATTATATTGTAATACTATTTATATAGTAGTATTATAATAATTGAACTATTTAGACTTCATTAATAATTGTAACATTTAAATCTAAGAAATTCTGGCTTACTGTACCCACCGCTTCATTTATATTACATTGTTTTAGTTTTTTTTTAAATGCCTATTAACTAACTATGCATTAATACAGAGTGTTTCAAAACTGATGCAATCTCTATATATATCCCAAAATATAAACCAGTAAAATATATTTAAGTCTTTTTACATTTTAGTTTTTAACAGAGGATCTGCTTTGATTGGTTTAAGGCATGAAATCGTGTAGGAGCGAAGTTCAATTCAAGGTGGCAACTTGAAATCCACTCAATTTCAGATCGATTAGTACCAGCTGGTCTGGGAAGTAAAGGTGGTTGGCGTGCAATGTTGATCACACTGCCCCCGCCATACTATTGGTCTTGAAATTACGGAACCCTAAACCCCCTGACTTACTTGGCCCACAACTGGCTTTTGTGGGGTAGCTTTATTTCATATAGCACAAAATGATTGTGCATTTTGAAGCTATCTTTTAGAAATTACTTATTTCTTATAAACTGTTTTGCATTTTTATACAAGTTCTTGTTTGGTTTAAAACCCGCAAGATCTACGAGGTTTTCTGAAATGTACATATGTGATTTTTAAATTGTAACATAAAAATAGCTTAAAAAAACTTTAAAAAAAGGAAATATCATGAAATGGTGTTAGTTTGGATCCAGTTTGGTATTTGTTTCTAAAAGTATATGGGATTTTACCATTTTTGAAACACCTTGTACGAAGACATCTAATGTTCAAATGTTACAACCTGAAACCTATCAAATCATCTTCATTAATGCCTAGTCTGTGTTCACTCCATAGATTTTCGTTCAAAACCTACAATCATATTATAGTCATTCATTTACTTCTAATAGTAAATTTTAGTGAAAACCAAATGTGTGTTCATTCATAATATATCACCTTTAATTTATTCAAGCCATATCCATACTTTTTCATTCTGTATGAATTTACTTTTTTGTTTTTTGGTGTTTTTAGTTGTGATATTTTATACACTGGAGCCAGAGAGTTAAATTTTTTTCTATATAAATAACAGTATTTAAATATGAATAGTTTATTTAAGTATTTCATGTTGTGGACGTACTCACATGCTTAATAAATGCCTTGTATTATTGAGAATATTTTATGCTTTTTTTTTTTACACAATCTTGAATTTTTTGTGTGTTTAAAACAAATTAAATAGTGATAATAGATTATACAATATAACTTCAAAAATCCATATTACTTAGAGGCTTAAACATTTCATGAAACTCGATTTCATTATAAATCCGTATGGGTTTTTTTTCTCGAGATGAATTAAAATAAAATTGTCTGGATTTTCGTAACATAAACATTAACAAGCTCTTTTATATTGATCTAACATGATAAACATTTTTATGTATGTTTGAAATTAGAGTGAACTTTGGTGGCTATGAAAAAATGAATTAAAATTGCTAAAATACACTACTACATGACTAATACATAGTATATCTGGTGTTGATAAACTCTTACATGTAAGAATTTGTGTCATTTTTACAATTTAAATCCAAACTCAATTATTACTGATAATATGTAAGCAAAATATAGTCAAACCTTGAAAATAAAGTACCAAAATATTCAGGATATCAAAAAATAGCAATATTTTTTAACATTTATTCAAAGCAATAACTGCAGCTGCTTTTAAAATTATATAGCATTATAATTTATTATAATGATTTACTTGCATTTAAAGTAGCAATTCAACTTCAGTAGTAGCTCTTTTATTGTTCATCCTTATAGCAATATAAAAAAGTCATTGTACAAGACAATAATAAATTAATTTCTTATTTTTAACTGTCTGGCTTTAGTAATCCTATTTTTAATAATTAATCATCTTTAATTTTGGCATAATTTATGTGTTCTTATATTTTTAATATAATAAATTTGTATAAAAAGTCATTTTTTGGTTAGAATTTATGAAACTTGTTTTACCTCATGACCATAACCACATATTGTTAAATACCGCATATTGTTTCACACTCACCTCTAGTTACACTGCCAATGTGTTCATTATTGTTAATGGCTTTTGATGTATTAGCAGCCTATGAAATTTCTCTTGTAATGTCACTGCCATATCAATGAATTGTGTTCTCTTTCTGTAAATAATGATTACATTTTTCCAGGTGGATGATTAACTCTAATCATTTTTTTTTCTTTTCTGTTTACAATTGTATATTTAATCCTGTACATAATTTTATTCATCTTTATTTTCTCTAGATTTATTATATTTTTTTAT